TTTCATAGTAACACACAGGGTTTTAAGAGTTCAGTTTTCCTCTCTGGGTTAATATGACTGTTTCCTCTTGGCCTGGCAGGAACCTCAGGATATGTCAGTTCATTGAGTATGGAATTTCAGCTTCAGTATGAGTGACTACAGGAACCAAAGCTTATTCTTTGTTTTCATTTCATATGACTCACATATTCTTTTGTATAATACTGTTTGTTTCTACTTTAAGTGATAAATCAATTAGGGTACAGGTTAAAATGCCATGACAGAGATAATTCAGCAGTATTGATCAAAACATTTATTTTCCAATAACAAATGGCCAACCTGAAAGTACAGTTATAAGTAGCAGTATACAGACCAAACAGGTTATTTTTAGAAATGTATATGCATAGCTAACAAAGAAACAGGAGGCCAGAGATTTGAAAGAGCAGGGAAGAGTATATGCAAGGGTTTGAAGAGAGGAAAGGGCATAATATTGAAAATTAAGAAATAATACTTAAAATTATTAAATAAATGAAATAATTTAATTTATTCTTAATAAATTAATAATAAGAAATTAAATTAAAATTATTTACTGTATAATAATTCAAAGGAAAGCTCTCCAGAAGTGTGGGCAACTTCCATTTCAAGGTGTGGTATCGACTCCAATGTTGAGCTGTATAATGGACCAGGGTGTACCTGTTCCAATACTTGTTCTCTACTTTTCTGCCTAAGATGTTTTCAGTGATGACCACTTGGTATTGGATAATTAAATATGCTCTTCCCACTCAGCTTTTCTAAATTACCTAGAGTTCTTTGTCTAGGGTTGAGGCTTTGGGGTTTCCTCTGTCCACATTAGCATGTCTGTTGGTGCTACCCTTACTCAGCTCATGTTTAGGCATTCATGTTGGTGAGAATTTATGGCTATAGCTTCTGAGATTGTAGGAGTCACAATCTCACAGCAAACCCCCGTTCCTCTTACAGTCTTTCTGCCCTCTCTTATGCAATGATTACTGAACCTTAGGTGCAAGGGTTGTCTTATAGATGGAGCAGTTGGGAATGGGCCCCACAATTCTGCATTCTGATCAGTTGTGGTTTTCTCCATTTGTTGCAAAGAGAAGTTTCCTTGTTGAGGGGTGAGAATAAGTTATAAATAATACTTAGAATGCAGTTAGGTGTTTTGATGTGTTGGTGAAGTTCTGGTTTCAATATTCATGACTTAACCATTCCTGGTAGTTAGCCATAATATGCATGCCATTTATGCTCCCTTAGGGTCACCATGCCATGCTGATCACCGTTGCTTCTTGGGTCACCATGCTGTGATGACCACTGTTGTTATAGAACATTTTTATGCTCACTTTTCACCATGATTCTGAAAATGAAATCAGAATATCTAGGTAGAAGTTTTTTCTTTATCACAGCAATGAAGAGAAAAACCCATGTCCATCCTCAGTGACGTCCTTTGCCATTCCGATGCTCACGCCCTCTTGCGCTCTAGTTGTACCCATTGCTCTGTTTACTTATGCACTTCTCCTTTTACTCATAGTCACTTCATTGCTAAGATGGAAAATGTGGACAGTCAGTGTCAATATCATTGATTTTTACAGTTCAACTCCCATTGCGTTTAATGTTGTGAATGCTGTGTGGGGGCCCAGATTATCCTTGTACAAAGGGAACTTAGTCATTTGAGAAGAGAAATAAAGTATTTATTTCTGAAGATTCTTTTTTCCCATTAAAGATTTTTTTGACCTGTGTGTATCTAACTAGACAGAGAATATATGTACAGGCAGAAGACTGTCTAAAAATAAAGTGTAGTAAGAGCTGTTTCACAATCTTTAGCAAGTGAAAGTTCAGCATATCTTGCTTTCATGTGGAAAAATGATTAGTGCTTTTTCAGGGTAACAGAATTTGTGATAACAGCCCCATGACTGAAGTCCTAATATTGTTTTCTGAATTTAGTTACATGCTAATGTAAGTTTTATATTTCCTTAGGAGGATGTGCATTTATTTCATACATAAAGGTAGAAGCTTGGAAGTAAAGTAGAAATTGTTATTTCCCAGAGCAGATACTGCAAAGGGTGCAGAAAAGACACCATCAGAGGGTAGATTAAAAACTGCTAAAAGCTAATTAGCACCAAAGGGCAATGGTAACCAGTGTTGATTTACTGCAGGGATTTGAAGGCCAGTGAAAACAGCTAGGTTTGACAGAGTCAGTTTATATTAGATTAATGCACTTCTTCCTAAAATGGATTTTTAAAAACAATTTCATTTTGATAGACTATTATTGAGACTATATTCACACATAGAAGTCTTGAATTCAACTGCCCTTCTGGCCACTGGAAATCAAATCTTGTGACAGGTGTGGCAATCTAGAACAAGCCAAGACAAAAAATCTTTGTCTTGAAATAATATAGAAATGAGCAAAGAAAAATTGGCACATTTCATGCTAGGAAATTTTGTGTCTCACATGTTTACATGAGATTAGATAAGACTTACTATGGCACTAACTAAGAGAAACACGAGAGCCACACAGATCATCACAAGTTCTCTGAAATCTCATTGATAAATTTAAAGAATAGGTGAAATTAATTTAATGATATATTCTATTTTATTCTGTACAAAAGAGTGCTTCAGAATCTAGTCAACATAAAATTTGTTGAGTTTCTCTGTGTGCAGAGTCTTGTAGGTGTGAAGCCTGCTTTGTATTTGGAGCAGTTATTGTCTTGGATGGGGACATTCATTTGCCCATGTGCCTGATGGCTGCCATTTTGGAAAGCATAGTTATAGAACAGGAATTTTCTTTTTCTGCCTTGTGTTCTGGTTACCAAAAGAGCTCCTAGATGATCACCATGTGACTGACTGACTGACTGACTGTGGAAGTGAAGGTTTTATCTTCATTTGGACAGGAAGGGCTTGGTGCTGTGACTAGTTCTCTGGATAGCTCCGATAGCAGTTACTCAGTCCAGGGCATGGTGAAGGGAAGCCTGGGGAGTGTGTGATGCCTCCCCATTCTGTGAGAATGTGCTGATGGCCCTAACAGTTGTATTTCCTTGTTTTATGAAAAACCAAATTGTCCGTTTTGCTGAAAAGTACAACTTGAACTTTATTTTGCAAAGATACAAGGCATGGCTTTTGTAAGTAAGTGAAGTTTTTGTTTTGTTTCATTTTCCTGTTGAAAGGATGTAAAAAAAACATTTCTTAGCCATTGGATGCATATTCCTTATATCAAAATCTTTACAGAAGGACAGTAATCAAATATATATTTTGATATTTGTTTCATTTTTCTTTACATGTAGAAAAATAGCATTTCAAATTAGAATAAAGGACATTAAGTCTAAAGTATATTTGAACTGCATTATTGTTTGAATATGTGGATTTCCTAAACTAAGGTTAGATTTTAATAATAAAAGCTTTCTCTGAAATGTATCTGGTTTAGCATTTTGTGGCTAAATGAATTAGACTCTAAACTTTTATCTGAATCTGTGGAGCTTGGATATAAATTGAAAAGATCACAGCTATGGGGAGAAGACCTATACCACAAAGGCCTTTCTGCATAGATTATGAATACCATAACTCAATAATTTTTCAAAACTATAGTTATAATTGGACCCAATGGGGGTCTGTTTCTTTGATGAGATCACAGTAACTGTGACTTTACACTGGAAAATGTCACTACTGTGAAGGTTTATCACCTGTAGAGCTGGTCTTTCCTCTGATGCTGTGTTCACTTCTCATTAGCATTATTCAAAGTTTAGTTGTTAATTAGGTTCACACTTCAATTACAATAATCATCTATAAGAGTAGTCAGGACTACTTGAACAAAGAAATAACAATATTCCCCTTTGCACATATGTAAAAGATAAATGGTATTATCTGGTAGTTTATACAAGTAATATTGTGTTTGAGGGAGCAATCCAATAAATTCCTCTCTAAATTAGTTTTTGTTTCCATAAGAAAATAGAATGTAAATTCACAGTTTTCTATTGAAAACATCAATAAAGAGTATATGAAATTTAGTGTTTTCAAGTGTAGAGACTGTGGTTTTCTATTTTGAATGAAAGTAGTCAGTGAAATGAATAAAAAGAGGGAGCATGCTGAGTATGACCTCACTTAAAACTCAGTCCACTAGCCCCTTGTACTTCCGTTTCTAAAACACATAGCGCTTGAAGTTAGAGTAGGCATGAAATATTGTAAGTTCGACAGCATTTCAAACTTTTCATGTTACCGGTAAAACATTAGTTTTTAAATTTCTTTTTAAAAACCTTTTGTTCTGATTTCTGATTGATGGGGGCAGTAATGCAGAACTCCAGTCTAGTGTATGATAGTGAGGAACACTGGACACTGGATTTGCATCTCAGTTTTGCCTCTGAGCAGCCACATCGTGAAAGCAAAGGGGTTCCTATTATTTGTCCCAACTTTTTTCATTCATAAATGAGAATATGAATGTTTTCTTAGGAGAATGCGATGAAATTTAAATGAGACAATATATAACATTTATATTACATAATTTTCCATTCATGATACGGTCTCTGTAAGCTTATCTCTTCTCTCTTTTCTTCTGATAATGATAAAAAGAGAAAATTAGTTATGCAAATGATGCTTCCAAACAGAAAATAAGAATGTAAATGATCTTGAAGGACTCCTAACAAATAACAAGGTACAACAGAAATGAACGGTATGGAGCCAGATTTATCTCTAAGCAAGTAGACACACGTTATAATTGCTAAAAATCTGCAGAAAAGTGCCTCACAAGCAGTTTACTGTAAATAATTAAAGCTTACTTATGTCAAGAGGCCTTGGGAAAAAAAGAGAGCATAAACCAATTTGCATTAGCACATTACTATCCTCTCCCGCTCTCGTTTCAATTAGCGGAGCAGCAGGTGCTCGGTACAGCTAAAAAGATAAGCTCTCAGGGAGGACGATGGATTTTGGCTGACCTGCAGACATTGCGCTTTGCCTGCTGATTGGGTTCGTACCTCGCTGTACCAATTTCTGAGGTGTTAATTTAACGGTTCCTCTCTGCCATACAGGTCTCGGCCTTGAAAAATAAGCTGAAGAAGCAGTCCACGGCTACAGGAGATGGAGTGGCTCGGGCCTTTCTGAGGGCGCAGGCGGCTTTGTTTGGATCCTACAGGGATGCTCTGAGATACAAGCCTGTAAGCATCCGTTTCATCACTGCCTTTCCACAGCCCCTTTGAATGAGGCAAGGAACAGGAAACATCTTAATTTTACAACTCAAAGAAGTACTGTGGTGGCCTTTTAAAACTCAACAAAGTGTGCTTCAGAGCTTATTCTTGTTCGGATTCGTCACCTTCTGTGTTAGCTCTTTTCATTATTGGTAGCTAATATTCCCCATGATCATTGGCCTGTCACCTATTTAAAGTTCTAGAAGTGGAATATTTATTTTTGAATGAGTTGATACATTATGTTCAAGCACTTAAAATCACTGACCCATTCTTATGATCACCAAGAAACTCACTAGACAGTAGAACGTAATAGCTTAGTTATGATAAGTTCAAAGTGGAAGGTAAGAAAATTAGCACTTTAAAACTTGGCACCATTTGAATATTTATTGTCTTCTTCCTGATAACACTTTCTGAAATATGCTTGCCTGTTTAGTATATCTGGTCCCATCTTGCCACTTATTCTAATTCCCTAAAAAGATGATTGAATCGTATCTAAGAAATTAGCTGGTCCAAAATAGTACAAGTCAGGTGCATTTGTTTCTCTCTCTAGCATTCATTAAAAGCTGTTAGGCAGTTTTTACAAAAAAAATTCTATGTGACCAGATGATTAGGCTTGTAGTGTATTCTTACATTTGTATTTTGTATGTGTATTTGAGTAAGCATACATGTAGAAGTCAGAAGACACCTTCGTGGTGTCATTTCTTTCCTTCAAATATGTGAGTCCTGTAGATTTGGCCTCAGGTTCTTGGGTATGATGGCAAGCACCATTCTCTGGCCCAGATGTGTATATTTTAAGGGTTAAGCACATTGAGTTAATAAAAAGTAGCACAGAGGCCTGACATCAATAGAATTCCATTGCTAGGCTACCTTTAACCCTTAGTCTGTAGAATATTGGAAAGTGAGAATTTTTATGCCACCCTAGCCTGTCTTCCACAATTGATGTGCGATCCTCTTGAACATTATGAACAATAACAACTATAGATGTGTTACGGGATTCCTGCCTGGGTCCCATCTCTGCTTTGGCCCCCAAATAACACACAAGACACTATATTAATTATAAGTTGTTGACTGGTGACTAGGATTTCTTATAGGCTAGCTTTGTCTTAAGTATTAGCCTGTAACTACTAACATATGTATTTCTACAAGGTCTTATCTTACCTAGAACGCTAGACTCATGTGTCCTCTCCTCTCAAGATCACATGGTGACGTCTCTTTACTACATTTCCCAGAATCCTCCTTGTCATCTAGTCCCGCCTATCTTGCTTCTCTATTGGCCAATAGTGTTTTATTCATCAACCAATAAGAGAAAACTGTTTACAGAATGACATCTCCCATCATTTCCTCTTTTCTGTCTAAATAAAAGAAAGGTTTTAACTTTAACATAGCCGAATTATAGAAAAGATGTGTAATATGCTGTCTTCTGACTTGGTGGTTCTGTAGCTCTCATGCATTTCAAGGGTTTCTGAGCTACTGGGAGAAGTTTTTAAATGGATAAGTATGTGTGCCTCCTGTCTTTAGATAAATATGTATATCTAGTTCTTGTGCTTGATTTGCCAGCTTTGCTTTACTATAACGAAATATCTGACCAAAATCAATTATGAAAAGACAAGTCTATGGGAAGATGTTGGGTGGTCTTATTGCTTTTGGGAATCTGGTATGGCAGTACCAGATGACAGGGACCCAGTTGAAGAGCAAAGCTCCTCATGTAATGACTAGGACATAAAGAGCAAAGGAAGAAGGGATGGAATCTCTATGTCCCAATTAAGGGCATGTCCCAAATGAACAGAAAACCTTCCTCTAGGCTTCCATGTTTTTTTACAGTCTTCCATTTTCTTCATGGGCTAAAAGTCCATGCCTTTAACATATAAGCCTTAGGAAGACATTTACCTCAACCACAGCACATACTAATCTTTCTGAAATATATGTACATTTGAAGATATTTTAGAACAAAAATATTGTAGCTCATATACATGTTTTATGTGGAGAGTTCTAAAAATTATTATGAGAATCTCATTCTTTGGAAGAAGGGAAACAACATCCAAATACAGTTAAATGCATTCAAATCATTCAATGCAATTAAAGCTGAATCTTAAGGAAACCCATTTTTTATTTAAAGATTTAATTTATTGAAATCAATATTTTAAAATAGTAAGAAAGTAAAGAAGGAAACTTGAACATACCACTTTGCTTGATTTTTTTTTTGCTGTGTTTACACACTCATTCTATAAACTAAATTTTCACTCTTCTCCTAAAATTTGTAGAAGACTTCAAATGTGAAGAAATGAATAAGTTTAAGTAATGGAGATGTTCTTAAGTGTTTCAGGTTGTCAGTGTGTTGGGTGCTAGATAAGATATTATGTCCCAAAGCTAACATGAATTGCCTTTGATTGTATTTACCCATTAGAGTTTCATTGAGCATATCGGGAAATAAAAATTTACATGGCTCAGAATCCAAGCTTCTCAAAGCTGTGTTTCCAGTGCCTGTTGGAATATATTAATTTATCATAGAGTATCTTTCTTGTTAACAAATCACATCTTATTGTGAATTTATTTTATTTTATTCATAAATTTTCCATTGATACTTACTTTTTCTTTTGGTTTTTCTACTCTGATATATTTTGGGACCTGGTGAACAATGTTTTTATTTTGCATTCTTTTATGATTCCCTGTCAGCCTATGAATGAAAACTTAATGTTTGAAAATTCACATTTAGATAAATTTCCTTTGTTTTCTCTTCATGAGAATAACTTTTAATATTTTAAGGAATCATGTTTATTAAGGAAAAAAGTCATTTTCTCATTATAAATAAAATATATTATTAGATATTGTCTTAGTTACTTTCTATTGCTGTAACAAAACAAAGGCTATTAAAAATTTCATTTAATTTGGCTTATGGTTTCAGAGGGTTAGAATCCATGGTGGTAGAGCAAAGGAACAGCTGAGATACCCCACATTGTGATCCACAGCCATGAGGCTGAAAGAGAGCAGTGGATATTAGAGGAGTCTGTTGAAATCTCAATGCCCTAATCCAGTGACACACCTCTTCCAACAAGGCCATGCTTTCTAATCCTTCCCAAACAGTTCTACCAACCTGGGACCAAATATTCAAACATGTGAACCTTTAGGGCCATTCTCACTCAGATCAGCACACTCCACTCCCTGTCCCTTATAGGCTTGTGGCCATATCGTAATACAAAATGCATTTAGTACAACTTCTAAAATCCCCATAGTTAATCACAAACTCAACACAGTTTAAAAGTTCAAAGAGTCTTTTGAGGCTCAAGGCAGTCTCTTAACTTTAACCCACCATAAAACCAAAAACTATATTACATACTTCCAACATCCAATGGCACAGAATATACATTACCTTTCTGAAAGGAAGGAATTTGGACACAGTGAGGAAATACTGGACCAATATCAGGCTGAAACCCAGCAATGCAAACTCTAAATCTTCTATTTCCATGCCTGATGTGAAAGGACTCAGGTGGCTCTACTCTTCCAGCTTTGCTGCCTGCAACATATTTTCTCTCTCCCACCAGTCACACGTGTATGCAGCTCTTCTTGACAGATACCCTGTGGGCCTGCACTGTACTATCTTCCAGTCCCCGATGCATATCAGAAACCTCACAGATTCATGAAGTGGCCTCTCAGGGCCTCCATTCAGGGACTCCTCTGCCACATGTCTGGCCTCAGTGGCTGTCAACCATGAAGGGAGATTCCATAACCCTTTTCTTGTGTATCTTTCAGGGTTCTGAAGCCAGGACCATGTGGTAGACACCACCAAGCGTGACCACCAACCCTGCACCCTTGAGTCATATCCATAGCAGCTTTTTTGTTTGTTTGTCTTTTTCTTTCTTTTTAGGAGCAGAAAAGTCCTTTGGCCTTTTCTTTTCACTAGTTGGAAACTTAGCTGGGTGGGTGGGGTCTTGCCCTGAGTTTACCATTCCTTTTATTCCATTTCAGATCAGGGTTCCCTCTAGTCTTTCAATCTTTTCAGCACGAGCTCTGCCTCCAACATTAATTTCCTAGTTATCTTTTCCTCTTTAAGCCGTGTATTTTCCATTTTGCCCCACCTATTCTTTTTTCATTGTATGCCTACATAAGGTGTGATTAGTAATAACTGTCACTAAGGTAGGCTTTGAGATTTCAAAAGACTCATGCAGTTCCTTGTGCATGCTCATGCATGCTCTGTTTCTGTCTCTCTCCCTGCCTCATGTTGTGGATCAAGATGAGCCAATGTTAGGCTGTCTTGACATCACCTCTACCCAGGAAATTAGTTCATTCCTTTACAATTTAGTCACAGGTAAATTCTTCAAACAAGGGCAGAAAGCAGCCAAAATATCACAAGCATAGCCTCTATTCCAGTTGCTTATATTATTTCCCTTTGCAACCTTTTGAGCTGAGCCTCCACTATCTACATTGCTCTTAGTGTTCCTGTCCTCCCAACTCCTATTAGAATGATTTGCTAAGCAATGCTTATCGTATTGAACCACATCTCTAGTGGTTCTAGTGGGCTTCCATCTTACTGCAAACCCAGCGCTATCAGGTCTGTTATAGCAATAGTTATCTTAACTATTAAGATAACTTACCCACTTCTGCCTTAGTTACTTTTGTGTTGCTGTGATAAAAACACCATGACCAAGGCAACTTATAAAAGAAATCATTTAATTTCATTTACAGTTTCAGAGGGTTAGAGTCCATGATGATAGAATGAAGGAACAGCTCTCATCTTGATCCACAACCACAAGGGGGAGGGAGGAGAGAGAGACAGAGAGGGAAAGAGACAGAGAGGGAAAGAGAGAGAGAGAGACAGAGAGACAGAGAGACAGAGAGACAGAGAAAGACAGAGAGAGACACAGAGAGAGACAGAGACACAGAGAGAGACAGAGACAGAGAGAGAGAGAAAGAGGGGAGAGACAGAGAAAGAGAGAGAGAAGAAAGAAAGAGAGAGAGGAGAAAGAAAGAGTACA